CCAGCAACTTGGTCTTCTTTTGGAGCTCACTATAGTTCAAATCAGCTCTTTCAAGCCGCGTCAACAAGTCGAAGAATTTCTGCACCCCTTCTTCCACGGGTTCATCTTCTTCAATTCGTAGCGTCGCCATTTGCCGTTCCAACACCACAGCTACCGCCGCTATTGCAGGAGCGTGTACACAACATCACGCTAGAATGGCTTGATGTGAAGGATCTGGCTGCTCCCCAACGCTTGCCCAAGTAGGAGGTAGCCTTGTGCGCTCTTCCGCACCCACGGGCTCTTCTCCGGGTCGTTCTCGGGGCGCTTCTCCGTTCCTTCCATCACCTCGAGCAGGTCGTAGTGGTCAAACACGTTTTCCATTCTGAAGGACCACTCAGCAAAGTTTTCACCGTTGAACTTGTCAGGGCCAAACACTCTAGGCTCATCCCTAGATGGGCCAACACTTGGTTGCACGGGCGCCATGGCAGAGTCACGGGGTTGGTCTTGAGCTTGGGCTTCTCCACTGCCACCAGCACCTCTACCACCCCTTTCTACAGGTCCAGCAATTGTCAAAACTGCTCCAAGGGGCTCTGATACCACTTGTTATAGTCACAGTAGGCTCCAATGTGCCTAAAACGAAAGATAGAGTGCACAGATGGATTTCTGCACAGCGTCTTCAAACGTTCATAGCGTTCCGGTCACAGCTTCAAATGACTTGATTCAACTTGGATCCGGAGCGATTTTTGTCGCCTACAATGGGCAATTTAGATCGCACGTCATGCCCTTCTCCACCAAGTATTGACGACACAGCGTCAGTTTGAACGAACCGCACTATGGCAGCCACTATAGTCTTAGAACACAAGATAGGAAGAGTTAGGAAGAGTTACGAGTTGGGAATGACTCCCAGCTCCTACAAACCCCAAGAGCCAAGGTACAGTGATGTGGAACAGTGTCACACTTTCCCCAACCACGAAGGGTCTCGAAACTACCCTTCACTAGGGCCTACACCAACTGAAATGTTACACTACACAAAGTAATGTAACTATCTTCAATCTCTTGAGGTGTACCCTTTTGGCGAGCTTCGCGATCACTTGAATGTTGACACCAGGGGCTCGGGTTCTTCATCACAAACTCATCCTTGAGTTCTTGATGGGTCTGCTGCACACACCTGCGACACGCCGAACGTTCGACAAGCAACAAAATAGAAACCGCGAACGACAAAATACAAACCACGCGAGACACACAAAACGACCACGTTACACGCGACTAGCGATAATTCACTATTGACTTGACACACACACTCAACATCATGACCCATCATTCACACACTATTATAAGCATGAAATATATATTTATTTCATGCACTCATTCCATTCCATGCACACACGCATGCACGCACACGGACAACAAGCCGAGTGCAAACCGTAGGGTTGCACCAACAGTTTTTGCCCTACGCCATGAACCACGCTGTGCGCCTGCACAACCTTCTCTCCACCACGGCCAACAAGGACAACCTTTCCCCACACATGAAGTGGACCGGCTCAAGGGGAGACCCCTCCATACTGAGAGTCTGGGGGTGCATAGTGAAATATTGACCGGCATCAGCCACAATTGGCAAGTTCGTTCACCGCGCACGCTGGGGAATTCATTTGGGGCTCAGTCACGAGCACAAAGGGTGGCTCATTCTCGACATTGATAGCGAGGAGGTGAAAAAACTGAAACGAGAATGAAAATGACTAAGTGAAAGTTGGGTACAAGTATGAACCCTAGAAAGCTGTACCCCATATGTGCTACCCCACTATAGCCTACAGTAGCTATGTCATATAAATCTGACACACCCCCATAGGCAAAGTGGGGGAGAACAAGAGGTCACAAGACCAGTCAAGCAAAGCAAAGCAAAGCAAGCTCAGGGTGGATCACAAAGTCACCACACATTCCGAGCACAAGTTGAAGGCCACAAGGCCAGTTCACATGCACGATTACACATATATATATAAGGCAAGACAAGCAAGAGCACGAGTATATAAAAGTAACAGTACAAACAAGGTCAAGGGGTGAGCAAGTGAGGCAAGGTAGGCACAAGACCCAGCTGAGTACAGAAGCGCTGATGATCACAAGGCGCAAGTGCCTTGGTGAAGATATCAGCAGTGTTGGCCTGAGAGGCCACGTACGCAAGGCGCAGCTGACGACGCTGCTGTAGCTCTCGAGCAAGGAAGTAGCGAAGAGCAATGTGCTTCGTTCTGTGCTCCAGTCTCTGCTCCCGACACAAGGCCAGCATGGCCTTGTTGTCTACGTACAGCACTGGAGGAGAACGAGGCGGCTCTCCAAGGTCAGTCAGCAGGTAGGTGAGCCAGCGAAGCTCCTGTACAGCCATGGCTCCTGCGTAGATCTCAGCCTCACAATAAGAGCCGAGAACAGAAGACGAGCGGGTAGCCGGCCACGAAACAGAGCCGGAGCCAAGGCTGAAGGTGTAACCCTGTGACGACCACTGCGTAGCCTGGTCATCAGCCCAAGAAGCGTCTGCGTGCTCAGTGAGGACCACTGGACTCTGCCCTCCAAGCACAAGCCCCATGCCCAACGTACTGCACAAGTAGCGCAACACCCTCTTCGCTGCAGCCATGTGCTCCGGTCTGTGTCTCCCAGGAGCAACATAGCGTGCAAGAATGCTAAGAGGGTATGCAAGGTCAGGTCGTGTGCAGGTCATCAGGTACATGAGGCAGCCAACAAGCTCTGGGTACGGGCCACTCGACTCTACGGACTCATCCGAAGGCAGAGCTGAGAGCGAGTGGCGAGTAGGCAGAGGATTGGCCTGAGACGAGGAGTACGTGAAGCCGAAGCGCTGAAGGACCTGCTGCACCATGTGTGACTGAGTCAGGGTAATGGTGCGGCGTGCTCTGTCCCGGGTGATCTGCAAGCCAAGGTAGCTGCGCAGTTCACCCAGGTCTGTGCACGTGTGTCTCTTCTACAGCTCGGACTTCACGTGGGCGAGCCCAGCAGTGTCAGTTGTGGCAAAGACCAAGTCGTCGACGTACACGAGGATGTAGAACGGTGGCAAAGAAGTGTCGGTGCGCAGAAATAGCGACGGGACGGCAGTAGACGGAGCAAACCCAAGAGCCACAAGTGTACTCCTCAGTGTGTCGTGCCACTCACGCGGTGCCTGGCGGGGACCGTAGACTGGCCGCCGGAGGCTCCACTGGGTGCCAGGAGGAAAATTCCCAGTGAAGCCAAGTGGGCGGCACAGCCAAATCTCCTCGTGCAGGCTGCCCTGCAAGAAAGCAGTGCTAAAGTCAAGAGAGTGTAGCTCGTGGTCACGGTGAGCAGGTATGTGCAGCAGTACCCGAAGAGTGGTCATCTTCGGGGTGGGAGAGAAGGTCTGAAAGTAGTCAACTCCCTGCCGCTGACTGAAGCCACGAGCCACGTAACGCGCCTTCAAGACAGGCGGAGAACCCGGCGGCCGCTTCACCCTGAAAATCCACATGCCACTGACGATGTTCGCCCCATGCGGGGGAACGTCGTCAACGTAGATGCCTGTGAACTTCCAAGAAGCCATCTGTGCGTCCATAGTTGCCTGCCACTGAGAGGAGTAGGGACCCTCTATCGCCTCCGCGTAAGAGCGCGGAGTCGGGATGTCAAGTGCATCCGGGTCTCCCTCAGGGGTAAGAAGTACGGACACGAGATGAGGTGAAGCAGCAGCCAAACACTGGAACTCCTCCTTCCTGTCCTCAAGGACGTCCGTGCCAAGGGCACACTCACCCCCGACGGACGGAGGACAGACAGACTGAGACTCAGCAACAAGACTAGCAGCGTAGTCTAGACGACAGCGAGCAGCAAAGTCGACGAGCTCAGCAACTAGGGCAGACGCAGCAGTGGACTCAAAGAAAGGGTCAGTGATAACAGTAGCAAGGAGACGCGTGACAGTAGGACTGACAGCACGAAGAGAGTCCGACTCGGGGTCGGCAAGAGCAGGAAGAGAGGACTCAGGAGGAGAAGGCAAAGGGGCACGCAGAGGAGCAGTGGACGGACGCAGAGACATCCGGTGCGTGCCAGGGACAGGAGGAGGACGCTAACGCGTACCACGACCACTAGTGCGAGCAGCACGGACAGGCAACGCAGGGCGAGACGCAGGCTCACGACGCTCAGCAAGACCTTTAGTAGGACCAGTGTAGGGAGAAGAAGCAGGCAGTGGGGAGGCGGGCTGTAACTGTAGCTGCGACAGGACAGACTGTGGACACTCGAAGGGAGAAGGAGGACCAGTAGAATGCGGGAGAGCAAGAGCCTGCTGAAGGAGCGGAACGAAGTACGGTCGAGGCCGCGCAGCGACTCCAGACGCAGCAGGGACAGCACCAGTACCCCCAATGGTAGCACCAGCGCCAGCAGAACCTTTAGCTCCAGTACCCCCAACAGCTCCAGTAGCTCCAGGACCACCAGCAGCACCAGTAGCACCCCCAGCAGGACCACCTCCTGTACCGCCAGCAGCACCCTCAGCGCCAACACCTCAGCAGCTCCAGCTTCAGTCAGGCCACGAGAAGACGCAGTGGCTCCAGCTCCAGTAGTACCCGCAGGCCCAGCAGCTCCAGTACTCCCAGTACGAGCACCTCAGGGACCCGTGGCACCAGCACCTTCAACAGCCGAAGAACCTCCAGCTCCAGCAACATGCCTTCAGCGGCGGGCAAACCACTCACGCAGCTCTTGTGGAGAGAGTGGCTCCCGTGGAGACGAAGCACCCGTAGAACCGCCAGGCCCAGCACCGCCAGACGCCACACGAGTAGGCCCAGCTCCCTCAGGCTCCGCACACCAAGGCTCAGCACCTCTAGGCTCCGCACCCCCAGGCTCAGCACCTCCAGTCGTAGCACCCCCACGCTCACCAACCCCAGATTCAGCACCCCCAGGCTCAGCACCCCCAAGCTGAGCACCCCCAATCGTAGCACCCTAACGCTCAGCACTCCCAGAGTCAGCACCCCCAGGCTCAGCACCCTCAGCAGCACCAGAGTCACCAGCAACCTCAACAGGCTCAACCACGTCTACCTGGGACACACCTGAAAGGGCAGGACCCTGAGGGGGAAGGGGGTCTACTGGAGGGGGACCTGGCACAAGGAAGAGCGGTGGCGGGGGGAGGGACGGAGTGCGGTAGGGGAAGAGACGGTAGTAGGGGACCGACTCGTCAAACGTGACGTCCTGGGAGGACAGGACACGGCGAGAGGTGGGGTGGTGGAACTGCCACCCTGGCGCGTCAGTGGGGAAGCCAAGGAAGACGCAGGGAGCAGCACGAGGGGACAGCTTGTCCACAGACAAGTCGCGGACAAACGCCCGAGATCCCCAGACCCGGAACGCAGATGCATCGCCAACCTTCCCCGTCCACAGCAAAGCTGGGGAGGTCACCGGCATGGAGACCCTGGGCTGAAGGTTGATCTGATGCGCCGCGTACCTCACCGCAAACGGCCACAGAAAATGGGGGGCAGCCGCATGCATCATGGACGTACGGGCGACGTCCATGATCATGCCAATGCGGCGCTCAGCAATCCCATTTTGCTGTGGAGAGTCCGGAAGCGTGAAGGTCTGGCGGATGCCTCGTGCACGACAGTAGGCTCGTAGAAGGCCAGAGGAGAACTCTCCGCCTCTGTCAGAGTGCTAACGCAGAACAAGAAAGTCTGAGCCGAAGCTCTGCCTGAGCTGGAGACGAGCTGCGCGGATCTAGTCGATCAACACCTCACTGACATCACCCTTGCTGCGCAAGGGGAAGACTGTGGTGTAACGCGAGTAGTCGTCAACCACCAGCAGGAAGTAGCGCTCGTGACTGTGTCCACGGACGCGGGCCGGGCCCCACACGTCCATGTGAAGTGTCTGCAGTGGGGCCTCTGTCGGAGGAAACTGGGAGGAGTGAGGGGCAGCCCGCTGACGCCCCTCGACACAGGGGACGCAGGTAGGGGCAGGCCCCGGAGGAAGGGGAGGGAGGGACCAGGGAAGACCAGAGACAAGGACACGGGATGCCATGCCTCGGAGACGAGGCAGGGAGGGGTGACCAAGGCGGTGGTGCCAAAGGAGAGTCTCGTGAGACAGGAGACGACACAAGCAGGGGGCAGACTCAGGACCAGACCTGGACGCTGCAGCAAACACCTGACCCGACGCAGCTACCTCACCAGACGCAGTGACTGGAGGAGACTCAGTGGTCAGTGTGTACAGGCTCGACCCCGGTCGAGATGTAAACGTGGCCAAGTGTCGGCCCGTCCGAGCGTCCGTGCAGTGGGTCACCCGCTGGCTCGCAGGAGTGAACTTGTGAACTCCCCCATCCTGTAGGTCAGCACCACTCACCAAGTTTGTAGAGAACGAGGGGAGGTAAAGACCAGACAGGGTGCCAGAGGGGGCCGCCGGACACGGGAGGACAGTGGAGAAGTGAGCAAGGACAGGACCCCCAGAGGGGTCTGCCAGAGAGACTGCAACTGGCCGACCAAGCGGCGTGAGTGTGGTGCGGTCTCGAAAGAAGGAGCGAGAAGCCCCCGAGTCAAGGGTGAAGGTGTGGGAGGCCGGAGCCGACGCGGTACCTGAGAGAGCAGACTCACCAGCACCTGAGGAAGCAAACGCCCTGGACAGAGAGACTGCAACTGGCCGACCAAGCGACGTGAGTGTGGTGCGGTCTTGAAAGAAGGAGCGAGAACCTCCCGAGTCAAGGGTGAAGGTTAGGGAGGCCGAAGCCGACGCAGTACCTGAGAGAGCAGACTCACCAGCACCTGAGGAAGCAGACGCCCTAGACAGAGAGACTGCAACTGGCCGACCAAGCGGCGTGAGTGTGGTGCGGTCTCGAAAGAAGGAGCGAGAATCTCCCGAGTCAAGGGTGAAGGTGAGGGAGGCCGAAGCCGATGCAGTACCTGAGAGAGCAGATTCACCAGCACCTGAGGAAGCAGACTCCCCCCTGGATGCACTAGCACCTAGAGCAGTATCCTCGCTAGCACCTAGAGCAGCAGCCTCACCAGTACTTAGAGCAGCAGTACCAATTCCCGGGTCGGGCGGAAAATACCGGTAACAGTCACCCTCATCACTAATAGTCACAGCATACATGGCAACAAGAATATCATCAAAGTCAAGGTCAAAGATAGCTACTCCCGCCCTAGACAGCTCGCCCCAGCGAGGGATCTCAGTGGCCTCAGGGAACGGGTGACGCCAAGTGGCCGTCAGGGGGCCAAAGCAGCGCTGGGTGGAGTGCGCACCCCCGCACTGCTCACTCGCGCGGTCGCCTGTGCGTAGGGCGTAGGTGCACAGACCAGTACCCCCACCCCGCTGACGTGCAGCGTACCACTCACGAAGCTGCTGAGCGGCGGGGATCTCACGAGTGCGCTGTTGCTGCTGCTGCTGCTGGCGCTGACCACCATCGAAGCCGACCCTCTGTGCAGTGCCACCCCGACCAGCTCCACCTCCTCCGCCGCCGCCTCCTCCACTACCGCCACCGCCGCCTCCGCCTCCACTGCCGCTACCGACGCCTCCACCCCCTCCACCACCCCCACCGCCGCCTCTACCGCCCCCGCTAGCTCCTCCAGCGCCCCTGCCCCCCTTGCCCTTGCCAGGGCGGCGTCTCCCGCTAGGGGTAGACGCCGCACCGACCGACTCAAGACCAACGAGGTCGGCCGCAGCAGCAGAGGCAACAGAGGGCAAGAGAGGAGAGGGGGAGCACCCCTCAAAGACAGGGGCACGAGGGTCACCACGAGAGGCTCCTACAGCGACTATGCTCTTCTCTGCTGCTAGGAGGCGCTCCTCGAGGAGGTCAACGGTGAGGGTGGTGGGGCAAACAGAGAGAAAGTGGTCCTTGACCGGGCGAAGGGTGTCAGGGAGCCGGGTGACTATGTAGTAGAGGGTGATGTATATAGGGGGGGGGTTCTTGGCGCAGAACTCAGAGGGAAGGGCAGCGAGTAACGAATGTCACTAGTGCGAAGGTGCGTAATGAGGTCAGCGAGTGTGGGAAAAGCGCCGAGGTCAGGGAAGAGGTACGGCAGGATGAGGCGGCTAAGTGCAGCAGTGGCAGGGGAAGAGTAGCGTGCAACTACAGCGTCGTACAAGGTCCTAGCACTCTTGTACTGACTAAAGTGTGCACGCTCTGAGGTAGGCAAGTGGCGACGCACAGCAAGACGTGCAGCAGCATCGCGTGTGGCCCACTGTGAGCGAACAGTGGCGTCAGCATCAGCAGCAGGGGCAGGAGAGGCACCAGAAGTGAGGTCAAAGAGGGAGAGACCGTCTGCCCTATCGCACTGTAGGAAAAGCTGCAGGTCATCTACCCAGACGTCAAAGTCAATGGCCCGACCCTCAGCGTCAAAAGCGAGGACACTGGGGGTAGCCATGACAGCAGTAGACTAGCAGCGCGAGCAGTAGGCTAAGGGCAGTGCAAGGGTAGAGGTGCTGCTCTTACCAGGTAGGCGAGAAGGACCGAGGCTCGCCGGCAGGAACAGGGCCGCGTCGGCAGTGACCGGGTGTAGCGGACAGGGCGGCTCGGACGGCTCGGCGGCTCGGCAGTAACAGCAGCTCGGCGGCTCGGCGACTCGGCGGCTCGGGCGGCTCGCGCGGCTCGGCGGCTTGGGCGGCTCGGGCGGCTCGGCTGCTGCAGGGACGACGGCGGCGGCTGCTGCTGCAGAGACTGCGGCGGCCGCTACTGAAGGGACGGCTGCAGGGCCGGGTGGGGCGGCGACGAGGCCGCTACGGTCGGCGGCGGCGCCACGAAGGGTAGCGGCCGGCGTCGCGAGGGTGGGGCCGCGGGGTCGCTAGGGTAGGGCGACGGGGCCGGTAGGGGCGGCGCCTGGGCCGGTAAGAGCGGCGCGGGGGCCGCGAGGGTGGGGCGACGGAGCCGCGAGGGCGGCTCAAAGAGGTCGCGAGGGCGGCACGAAGGGGCCGCGAAGGCGGCGCGAAGGGGCCGCGAGGGCGGCGCGACGGGGCCGCGAGGGTGGCGTGACGGGGCCGCGAAGGCGGCGCGACGGGGCCGCGAAGGCGGCGCGATGGGGCCGCGAGGGCGGCGCGATGGGGCCGCGAGGGCGGCATGACGGGGCCGCGAAGGCGGCGCGACGGGGCCGCGAAGGCGGCGCGACAGGGCCGCGAGGGCGGCGCGACGCGCCGGGGTCGTGAAGGCGGCGCGACGGGGCCGCAAGGGCGGCGCGACAGGGCCACTAGGGGCCGAGAGAGAGGGGAGCGCGACTCGGGCAGGGGCTGAGTGCGCTCCGGGCAGGAAAAAAAAAAAAACGGTTGGCCCTAGGAACAGTTCCCACGAGGGAACCTGCTCGATACCATGAGAAAACTGAAACGAGAATGAAAATGACTAAGTGAAATTTGGGTACAAGTATGAACCCTAGAAAGTTGTACCCCATATGTGCTACCCCACTATAGCCTTTAGTAGCTATGTCATATAAATCTGACAGGAGGTTGTCCTCGCCCGTGATATTCTCTTCTACGAATGACTCACCTTGAAGCAGTGGATCGAGGCCGAACGCCGCTACGAGGCACGCGGCTACGTCAACGGTGGTCTCAGCTTCGCGTCCCAAGAAGACGAAGCGGCAGCAGCGGTACTGGATCGAGAGGACACTGACAAACACCCAAACGTACCGCCTCGCCCACGAGACGATGACGATGACAGTGACGATGATCCCGCGCCAGGACCGTCACGAAGCAAGCTGAGCCAAGCATCACAGCGCCCGACTACGAGAGCGGAGACGACGACGTGGTAGAAGTCACTACCACAGACACCACCAACGTGTCCGGCCTACAGCTTCTCGCGCGCGCCGTCGAGCCCAAGAACCCTCGCCTGGCCCTGACCGGCCCTCACGCCAAGGAGTGGTGTGCCGCGATGGATGCGGAACTGCAAGTGCTGGAGTCAAGAGACACATGGGCCCTAGTCAATCGTGCAGCAGTAAAGGGGAGGAGGGTACTCAGCGGCAAATGGGTTTTTTGCTTGAAGACCAACTACGACGGTACTATCGAGCGCTTCAATGCACGCTGGGTCGTACGAGGGTATGACCAACGCCACGGTATCGACTTTGACCAGACCTTCACTCCCGTTAGTCGTCACACCTCCGTCAGGATTCTGCTCGCCATTACCGCCGCTAAGCACCTGCCACTGCGACAGATCGACGTGAAAAACACGTTTGTATACGCGTTGGTGGATGCTACCATCTTCGTGGAACAACCTCACACCTACGGAGAAGGGGATCCCAGGGTCTGTCAGCTGAAGAAATCCCTCTATGGGATCAAGCAAGCGCCTCGCCTCTGGCAGCAGCACCTGCACAAGATCCTTCTTGAGATCGGCTTCAAACAGCTGCCACACGACCCGCGAATGTACCGTCTTCGCTTTTGTGGCGACTACATCCTCCTGACAGTCTACGTTGACGACCTGCTGTACACGGGCACCTGCAACAAACTCCTTAATCAGTTTGAGGAGAACCTGGCGCAGCGCGTTGACATCACTATCAACCACAACGTGAAGCAGTTTTTGGGACTGAACATCACTTACGCGCCAGAAGCAATTCACCTGTCAGCCTCCAAGTACGCAGAGCAGCTGGGGGAACGCTTCAACATCTCACCCGCATCACTCTCAACTCCCTACCGTAACCCCAGCGCCAACTACAAACCGGACAACAAACCTCTGTCACCCGCAGGACAACAAATGCACCAGCAGAAATTGGGGTGCCTGCTATTCACCTCTGTCACCTGCCGACCCGACCTTTCGTACATTGCTAGCCAACTGGCACAATACTCCCGCAAACCAGTAGCCAAGAACCAGCTGGACCTGGAGCGCGCCCTGTAGTACTTCATTTCCACACCTGACATCGGGCTCTCTTACTCCACGCTGACGACAACCTCCTTCAACCTCAACGGCTACGTGGACGCAGATCATGCCGCTGACCCTGCAAATCGACGGTCCCGAATCGGCCTCGTCTTTTGCTTGGAACCGACTGGGCCAATCTCCTGGAACTCACAGAAGCAGGAGCTGGTCGCCCTGTCATCGGCTGAAGCAGAATACATCGCCGCGACAGCAGCAGTTTGTGAAGGCCTGTACCTGCAGGAGCTGTTACAGGAGGCGAAGATCCCAACTTCGCCTACTTTTCGCCTTCACTGCGACAACCAGAGTGCCATCAAGATCGCGAACAAGCCAGGATTCGTGAACCGCACGAAGCACATCGCCCTTCGGTACTTTTTTGTCAAGGACGAAATTGACCAGAGAAAAGTTGACCTCGCCTACTGCCCGACTATTGAGATGGCAGCAGACTTCCTCACCAAGCGTCTGCCACGTCAGCAGTACAAGCACTGCTCTGACCTCACCGGAGTAGTCAAGCGAGTCAGCTCCTCCTGCGCCCAAGAATGAAGGGGAGTGTTACGATATGAAAATTGCATGACAAGGCATTCCTGTATGATGTAGGAGCCAACTCTACCGAGTACAAAGTCGAGGAGTCAAAAGAGTCGAAGCGACGCAACAACCATCTGACCAAGACCGATGCAGGTAGAAACATTTGAAGTGAAAAGAGCGGGAACAGGTTTGAAACGGGTTCCCGCACCGCACGGTTTGAATTTGCTGTAATAAAGGAATGTACCCCTTAGAGTACATGGCTAGCCTAGGTCTTTTCGTATTCCCCTGTATCATTATATAAACTCGATGTATGCATGTTACCGTATTATCAACTCAGTCATTTACATTCACTCTGACCTGAGATTCAAAACTTTCGCTGCAACACTACACTGCGATCAACCCTGAGCAATCCTTTGCTAAGTCCCATTCGGGATTGTCTGGTCTTGTGACCGTCTTGTTGTCCCCCACTTAGCCTATGGGGGTGTGTTAAAGTACAATCTTACTTGTAGGCTATAGTGGGGCACTCCTTATGGGGTACAGCCCTTCTAGGGTTAGTACTTGTACCTGTTGGGCTGGGAAAAAGCCCTTAGGATCTTTGCAGAGGTGAACTCTGGATAGGATCAATGTAATAGCGGAAGCGTTTGATGAAGAGATTGTGAACCATCTTGCGCTGGTATGTGAGGGCAAAGTGAGTTGATTAAAATAAAGAGGTACAAGATTATATAAGAGTACAAGGAATATGAAAGGATACGGTTATAACCGTTCTACTGTTGCTGTTGCAGTTCGATACAGTGACGACTCGGGCAACTGCTCTGTAGCGAGCCAGTTGTGTGTCCTTGCTGTCGCGCTGTACTTGTCAGGTCAAAGGTCGCTGACCTTTGACTTTCGCGTAACCTCCAGCAGTTACTTCAACCTCCGAGGGTTGACTCGCTGGTTGTCAAAAGCTTAGCTAGGCTAAAGGAGCCATAGCTAGTTGAGTTCGAGTAAGTTGAGTAGAGTCGAGAGAATTGAAAAGAGAAGAAGGGTTTTCACTATAGAGCGAGCAGTACATATAGGCAAGATGAAAGGTGCACCACCAAAACAGAACATTATAGAACTACACTAGTCTACACTACAGGCAGTTACAAAAACAATATATAGAAATATATATTATTCTTGACACTGGTGCCTCGATATGCTTTGCTTTGCTTGTGCCTTAGTGTTTCGACACGACAGAGGCACTTAACTAGAATTGTTTCCAACACTCCCCTTTGCTTCTGGAGTGTCGCTCTTGGTGACGTGGCTCTGTCCAGTCAGCAGCATGCAGTACTCGAACATCTGCTTTCCAAGCTTCTTGGCCAATTAGTCAGCTGCCATCTTGGACGTGGGGCAGTATGACAGCTCGAGCCTTCCTTTTTCGATCTCGTCCTTCACGAAGAAGTATCGCAGGGCGATGTGTTTCGTCCTGTTCGCGAAGCCGTTCTTGTTAGCGATGCGAATTGCCGACTGGTTGTCGCAGAACAGAGTGAAGCTGGGTAACTGAGCCAGCTTCGCTTCTTCCAGCAGTTTGCGAAGGTAAAGTCCTTCCTTGGTGGCTGAACAGAGTGCAATAAATTCTGCTTCAGTTGACGAGAGGGCGATTAATTCCTGCTTGCTCGACTGCCAAGAGATAGGTCTGATAGGTTCGAGGCGGTAGATGTAGCCGGTGCGGGAACGCCTGTTGTCGGAGTCGCCAGCGTGATCGGCGTCGACGTAGCCAATTAACTTAGGCGGTGTAGTTGTGTTCTAGTAGTAAGTTAGACCAATCGTCGGGGTGCTAATGAGGTAGTGAAGAGCGCGGTCGAGTTCTGCTAAATGTTCCGCTTTGGGCCTCTTGAGGTAGGTGGCGAGCTGGCTTGCAGAGTACGAAAGATCTGGGCGGCAGGTGACAGCTGCGAAGAGAAGGCAGCCCAGCTTTCTTTGGTAGTCGTGTATGCCGGCGGGCTTGAGTAGAGCGGAGCCTTCCTTGTTGTTTCCTGTCGTGTAGCGGTACGG